TGTGAAGCAATATTGTTTTCTAAGTAGTTGTTAATTATTAGGAATGACAAGATACCCTTGTCTATCCATGGGCTTATACTTTCTATTATTGTGGCAAGTAAAGCCAAGGTTCTAATAACAATTTTATTACTATTAATGCTACTAGTAAGAATTCTTCACCACTTCAATGGGCCATAACTTTTAGGCTTTGAGAATTAATGTTAGTCTATATCTCTATAAATTAAAATAAAAATCAGCACATTTTGGAACATGATTGATGTCTACATTTTTTTATCATCTTCAATAGTCTTAATTTGAGGTTGATTTTAAATTATTTATTAATTCATCTTGAATGTTTTAATTTTATCTCTACTTGTAGTTTGTATGTTATTATTTTCAAGTTTAAAATTGTATTTCGTGGTTTGAAGAACTTCAAGTTCTTCATCAATCTTTTATATTATAATAAATTATTTTATTATTATCATTAAAATCTAATTTTTAATATTAGAAATTCTTTGCTAAGTAAAGCATTCATCTACACTCATATTTTTAAGAATTGAATATTTTTATAGCTTTGATACTATATTGAAAACATCTTAAGTGATATTAAATGTGATCAAATATTATACATTATAACATGTCTATAAGAATCTTTTCAAGAGTCACAACTCTTGGTATAGAATTTTAATTATTAAATTATATATTATATTATATAATAATTTTAATATCAATATTTTATTAGAATTAAATAACATGTTCCAATCAAATACCATCCATGTAAAATTTTCACCATACTTTGAAGAAATTGCCTACATAGCTAAAAATTTGTTGAATGATTCAATAAGTAAAAATGGCAAGAATTAGAGAGTAGGATAAAGGTTGCTTATTTGTCTACACAAGTTTTATTAAAGCAAATCTACATCCTTGTGCTTGACAAGGCAACAACTTTAGTGGACATTGCCATTGAAAGACTTCTTTAAGAAGGTCTACATTCAAAATTTAGTTCATGTATAGTCATTACTATTGCACATCAAATTCCTACCATCATTGATAGTAATGACATTATGGCCTTAAATAATAGTATGTTTTAGTTTTCTTGTGCCACAATTGAATAATTTACTAATCTACCTACATTACATTGTGGCTATATTAGAATTGTATTCAAAATGTCACATAGTTATACTAAAAAGGATTGTAGAGCATGATAGTTATTTAATTCTGCTGTAAGATCTCTCTTCTTTTTTTTCTAAGCTAATCAACAAAAGTTATATCTAACCCTATAATGAGTACTCAATTAAGTTTCTATAATACATCAACATTCAATTTGCATAGTTCTATTTAAAAAAACAATGTAATTAATTCTTTTAATAAAGCAGCTATAAACTTCTACAAATCTAGTAATATTATATAAGCTAATAGCAAGCTTTATTTAGATATGGACCCATAAATAGATATGTTGGTGAAGATTAAAAAAATTTGCAAAGATTTAGCATTAATGAATTTAAAAAGAAATAAATGAACATGTATTTTTATTATTAGTATTATATATTTTAGAGCTATTAAAGTGTTAGCTTAATAAATAATGAAAATTAAGGTATTTAAAACTTTCACAATTGAACAAACTTAAAATACTTGATATGATAGAATATAACTAATATATTTCAACATAACTACATTATAAAGTAATTTAAAATTGATTTTATTTGAAAATATATATTTATATAGTCTTAATTTTTATTAATAAATATATAATAAATATATAATAAATAATAAAACAAATTGATATATATCTATATATATATATATATATATATATATATATATTCCTCAAATATGCTAAAATATCAAGAATATCCATGTATTCTTGATAATAGAAAATATATTCCTTATATTTCTAATGATAGCAAATATTTTTTCATTCATGATAAGATATTATCAATATTATTTATTTAATCATTATCTAGGGTCTAAACTATGAACCATATAGATTTTGCAAGAAAATTTTAGCAAATTATTTCTTGAGATGAGTGAGTATGCATTTTGGAAAATTTATGCATATTATTACAATTAAAAATGCATATGATATGCACTTGACTTCCACACTTAGACAGATGATCTTGAACTTTGAAATAAAAATTTGATTCAGACAATTCATCACCCTTGTGTATCTTCACTCTTTCAATTTTTTATCGCTCCATAAGTCACATTTCTACCTTGAGGTGCAGAGGCTTACAAACAAGAGGATGGTTGTGATAGCATGCAATTCAAAAAATGCAAGCACTCCAATAGAAAAAATATTGTTGCAATTAAGCACTGCTAAAAATTTACAATGAAAGGCATGGTGTCCAAATCAAAAGAAGAAAAGGTGGCAAGTTTTTTCCAATTCTCAAAAAGTTGGAAAGGATTGTAGCAAAATTTGTGCAATCCCTAGTTTTGGCCCTAAATGACAACTAAACAAGAGATATTGATAATATCTTATTATCAATAAAGGTACATTTGCTATTATTACAAATCTAAATGATATATTTGCTACTATCACAAATTTGAAGGATATATTTGCTACTATCACAAATTTGAAGGATATATTTATTATTATGAAGAATACATGAATATTCTTGATATTTTAGTATATTTGAGGGATACATATGATGTTTTTCCTAAGTACTACAGATTTTTAGTGTTATAAAATACTGGAGAATTAAAAAAAAAAAAAAAAAAAAAATATATGATGTGATTTTTTCTATTTTTTTCTTTTTTCTTTATTTGTGAGTAGTCTATCAAAAGATTCAAAATTATAGTCATTTTAAAAATATAATTTGTTAATGTGTTTACAAGAAGATATGAGTGATTTTGACATGTTGATTAATTTAAAATCATAGTTACATCTGTAGATCAATGTTTTTGAAATGAGTACTTAAAATACACCTTTATTAATAAAAACATATGTTATTATATATAGTAACTTTACCTTAATTATAAATAAAAAAATTATTTTTAATATTATAAAACCAATAATTTATTCTATTATAGGATTTTTTTAACTTTTAAAATCTTATTATTTAGCTATTTTTATCAATATGAGAGAAAAGAAGAAATAAGTTTAGTGTTGGCTTCAAAGGTGGATTATATTTCAACACATGTATTTTACTTTGTTACAAATATGTAATTGTACAAGTGTAAAAATTAGAATTATATATATGTATATAGAAATAGAAAGTATCATATATTTTTTATTTTCTACTATTTGAATTAAATTTTTAATATATTCATTGAATAGATTAAAAGTGTTTCATAAATGAAATCATACCAAAAATAATAATAAAAAAAATAATATGTATATATATATATATATATATATATATATATATATATTCTAAATTACCATTGAAACATGTATAAAACTTATATAAATAATTTATTACAATTAAAATGTATATAAATTAGAATTATATAATTTATTAAATTTTAATTAAAAAAATAAATTATTAAATAATTAGATTATTATATTTAAATCAGTCAAAAAAATTCCAGGAATTAAAAAGAGATTCCAAAACAACAATAAAAATAAAATATAATGATTGACAACAAAATCCTTAAAGCATACAATAAAAATTAATCACTCCAAATTAGTTTAAAAAAGAACTGAATTTGTTTTAACTAGTCAATGGAAAAAAAAAAAAAAGAAAAAAAAAAAAAAAAAAACATATAATTTTAGAGTATATTTTATTTCTAAGTTTTAAAATGAATTGTACACAAGATATTCTTATTAATGTTGAAATTTTTAAATCTTAAAATTTTAGCATATTTATGAGAGATATTTTGATCTTATTATTATGTTAGATATGAAGATCTAAAAATATTTCGGTATACATTAGATAAATATTATAATTTATAAGATTTTTATGAAACATCTTAGGTCTCAATTAAGAATAGAGATTAAAAAAAATGATACAATATATTAAATAACACTTATAAGTATAGAACTATATATATATATATATATATATATATATATATATATATATATATATATATTAAGTATCTTATTTTATAATGTACAAAATATTGAGCACGATTTAAATACTACAATGGAAATAACAAGTTTATTTTTTTTTACTCATCTCCTAAAATAAAGTTTTTAGGAGTCAAATTTTTTTTATAAAAATATGTGATTTTTTTAGATGCTTAATTCTAATATATATTGTATACTTGTAAGATGGTAGGATATATAAGAATATCTTGATTTAAAAAAAATAGTATATATAAAGTAAAGTTATTGATATTTTAAATTTAGTTCACTAATAATCTTAAAAATCATAAGACAAAAGTTGTAGTTGTATATAGTAAATATTAACTCATGCACAATTATAGTATATTGTAAGATAGTTCTACTTTAGAATCTTGTATGTGATATTCATCTTATGTTTGATTTTCAACTATTTGATTGGCAAAGTGAAAAAATAAAAAATAAAAAATAATTTTAATTATTAATTTTTATGAATTTATTATCTTTTAGATGTTGATGTTTTTTCAAACACTAAAAGTCTTATTATTTATTTATTTTTTGTATTTTTATATTAAGCTTTGATTGACAATTTTTTATAGAAAGACATTAAATACTTCAACAATAAAATTTTAATTTTTTCATATATAATAAATAAATACAAAAACACATATATTTTATACAAAGTATATATGTATATATTAAAGTTACTTTTAAAATTAATTTTAGGTCACAATTAATTAAGTTTTTTATTTTTTATTTCTTATGAGTTTTTGCATTGTAGCTTGAAACATTTTGGTAGATTTTAAATAAAGTACATATAAACCGTTCTCCAATTTCAATAAAAGCAAGTTGTTAGCATGCTTTGAGTCTATTATTTTAGCACACACACTCTCAACACTTGAGATCGGTCCATCGAAGGCCTTCCGATGGGGCAAGGGGCTTCAACGGTTGGGACGACCAGAGTCGCAAGGCTGGGTCCAGACAGTGTGAACCGGGAGGGGGCCATCCATCAGAATTAGGGTTAGGAAGAGAGAGAGAGAGAGAGAGCAGTGAAGGAAGGGCTATGGTGAGGGAGGGAGTGTGGCGGATGATGCTGCTGCAGTAGTAGTGCTCTTCTTTTCTCAATCACTCCTACTCCGCTCCCTCGGAGCTTCTGCTGCTGCTGTTGCTGGAATTCCTCTTTGGCAGCCATGGCCGTGGGGAAGAACAAGCGCATTTCCAAGGGGAAGAAGGGAGGCAAGAAGAAAATGTACTCTCCCACACTCTCTGCGCTCTGTATTCGTGTCTTCATGCTTGCATTGTGTCTCCCGCGAGCTCTCGTTCCGTGGCCTTTAGGTGTGGAGCTTTTTATGTGCCCTGGTGGAATGTGCTGTGGCTCACATGAGTTCTGATTAGAGTGGCGGTGGTTTTTTGCATTGTAGTGTCGATCCCTTCTCCAAGAAGGATTGGTATGACATCAAGGCACCCAATACTTTCACTCAAAAGAACTTGGGAAAGACTCTCGTGACCAGGACCGCGGGAACGAAGGTGGGGGGTTATGCTTCTCTCTCTCGCTCTGTTTGTGTGTATCTCTCGCCTCCGTCCCGTGGGGATTTGATTGAAGTTGGACATTTATGAGAGAGATGGATACGCTTTTTTCTTTTGTGAAGTTGTACACGGAACTGACGCGGGTTTGGATGCGACAGATTGCCTCCGATGGGTTGAAGGGACGCGTGTTCGAGGTCTCGTTAGCCGACTTGCAGAATGATGAAGACCAGGCTTTCCGCAAAATCAAGCTAAGGGCGGAGGACGTGCAGGGCAAGAACGTTCTTACCAACTTCTGGGTATGCATCGCTATGAATCGACAAGATTTTGATACATTGGGCTCATGTATGTTGCTGAATACAATCAGTTAATGGCGTCTATTAGGAAACTAAATGAGGTTTTTAATTGACGAAGTCATGGTATTGGGAGAGCAGTGGTACGTTGTTGATGTTGGCTAAAGGTAAGGGCATCGTGTTACTTAACGGATCGACCTTTGATTAAATTCAGGGAATGGACCTCACAACCGACAAGCTGCGGTCTCTGGTTCGCAAGTGGCAGAGTTTAATCGAAGCTCACGTTGATGTGAAGACCACTGACAACTACCAGATCCGCATGTTCTGCATTGCATTCACCAAGAAGAGGCCAAACCAGATCAAGAAAACTTGCTACGCGCAATCGAGCCAGATTCGACAGGTGCGTGTTAGGTGACGCTTAAATTGTCAATGTCACAACACGTCCACCTAACTTCTGTGAAGGATTCGGCACATAGCATTTGTTTTTTATAATTTTGCGCCGGGAAATCTGAAAGTGATACAGCTATCGTCGCTGCATTGGAACTTATGTAATCTGGATACTTCAGTCGAATCAGAGATTGCACAAGCTGTACTTACTAGCATTTGACTAGTAGTCACTCTCGACAGTTTTGGGGGTGTCTAGAGGGTGAGCTTGAGCTAGCAGTTACGTCTTTTCTTTTCGTTTTTGATAATTATTATTTTTGCCACCATCCTCCATTTTATCTCATCTGCTATGGATTGACCGCTTTGTCTTTACAGATTAGACGCAAGATGAGAGAAATTATGGTGCGTGAAGCTCAGTCTTGTGATTTGAAAGAGTTGGTTGCGAAGTTCATACCTGAGGTGATTGGAAAGGAGATTGAGAAAGCAACGCAGGGTATTTACCCACTTCAAAACACTTTCATCAGGAAAGTGAAGATTCTGAAGGCTCCCAAGTTCGACCTTATGAAGTTGATGGAGGTACGTCTAAGTGTGGATGTCGTGCATGTGGACGAATCTTGTTGTTGAGCCGTGCTGCACAGTGGATGTAAGGGAGTTATCTAGGTGTGGACGCAGTGTCGTCTTTGACGGGTGTAATCGTTTGATGGATATGATTGTTAAGATACTGGTGCGATCCTGATCTGGTTCTGACAATACTGGCACCGTTGCGTTTGACAGGTCCACGGAGACTACAGTGAGGAAGTCGGTGCCAAGATCGAGCGTCCAGTTGGAGATGAAGCAGAGCCTGTCGCTGAGGCAGCTCCTGTCCCTGGAGCTTAGGTTTCAGTTTTGGTCGTGTTCTTGGATGAGATTGATTGGCTCGGTGCCGACTCTGTGGAGAAGTGGCACCACACGAAGTGGTAGAATCATTGTTGAATACGGATAGAGTAGCATTTTGAAAGCGTTTTTAATGACAGTATTTGAGAATGTTGAGCTGTGTGCTATGGACGTGTTTTTCGTATTTCTCTGCGTTGTCTGCATATGACTGTTCTGGAATAGCGGCTACGAAACATCAAATTCTTCAGCATTCTTACTTGCATCCTTCTATTCTTAATTGGAAAGTAAACTAATTTCCAACGACCATATTCACCTCTAATGCTCAGGTCAAAGACGCCCCTTTTGTTTGTTTCAGAGTCCTGTGCTCCGTGCCTTTGTGATCACGAAGCGAAGGCTCACTATTTGTGCCTTTATATGTACTGCACTAAATCATCATGGTTTTGACTTAGGTAACTGAATTCTTTTACAGTTGTGGACATGGGCCAGTGTGGTTTGAAGTCGATGTAGATCTGTATTTAGAATTATCCAAACTTCTCTACAAACTTGTGCGATTATCCAATTTGGGTCACTCAAATCCCAACGGTTGGGTTTGGGCAATCCAAATTCAACATAATGGCTTAAGTTTCCTTCATCCAAACTCTAAAAATTTGATTTGAAGGAAATTGCTACCAAAGCACAGTTTTTTTTTATTATTATTATTCTTTCTTTCTTTCTTACCAATGGTCGTGTGAAGATATTTGGTGCTAGTATTAATTTTTTTTGTGATATTTTTAAAATTTATGGGCGTTGTACAAATATTTTACTATTTTTCGATCATGTGTGTGCATACTTGTTTATTGTAAGATTCTTTCATATCAATTCAATGGCTTTTGATTTTTAAGTTTTTAAAACACTCAAAGAACTGGGGTATTAGGAAATGCAAAACAATGAGAATATGACAAAAGAGAATGATTGATATAATACAACTGATGAAATTTGATTATGCGAAATTTTGAGCATAAGTTCATTGGTCAAAATTATACACATAATTTAGCATTAAGAAATTTTTATTTGTACACCTGAAATATGTGGAAATATCATGAATACCCGTGTATTCTTGATAATTACACATGTACCCCTGAGTTTTCTCATAATTTCAATTATACCCCTGGACTTGATAGCATATCAGATGAACTCTGTTTTTGCTCATTTCGGGGCCCAAACAGCCTGCCGCAAAATGTGCGGCGCGGCACTTTTGGGAACAGGTCCCGCACCCCTCCGCTGCTGGCGCCGCTGCCGTCGCTTGCCCCAATACTGGCCGTAAGCACTTCAATGCTTGCACTTGTTCTTCGAGCTATCACACACATGATTGATACACGACGTCGACTGCTAGGTGATGTAACCACGCAAAATCAGTCACGAGCTCAGTTTTTGTTCTGAAGCACCGATCTTACGGAGATCGAGATCTAGATCACGAGTTTTGCAACAACTTGGCAGCACACCGACAGACCCAACCTCCATTTTTATGCGTTGCAATATGTGCTAACATGCTGGAATGCGTGCGAGCTCTCACAAAGCATTCTAGTCATCGCACGACATGAAACTGAATGTTAATGTAAAGTTTTCATGACACAACTTCAGGTTTGGATACATCTCGATGTACATTCCATTTTGATAGTTTCTGTACTTCCATGGAACCAAAAACCTTCAGATGAGAAGAATTCTACATTATTCACACCTAAAATTCACACATTGTTTTTCAAGTTTATTTTATATTACTGCTGACCGTCTGCTGAATCACAACAGATTTCCATTCTTGAACTGACAAATTGTTTATTTGGAACGACTTACAGAACAATGCACGCATCAGAGTCCAGGCAATAAATTACGGTTACCAAAATAATGAATGTTTAAAGTAATCATAAAATACAAGCGTTATGAATTTCGTTACATTGTGCACAAAAGAAAACAGAATGTTAAGTCTACAAATTTGTAGAAGACCTGCAAAATGCTTGGCTGAAAGACAAGCCTCCAATTTGGAGTGCAGAGCTGTGGCATCGCCACACGGAATGTCCAGGCGCTCGTCATGGAATTATATTACAAAGTTGAAACCTTAAGGAATCTCAAAATCACTCACTTCCGAAATCAGCTTCATCAGACGCATATAGACGCATTCGACAAATTAGAGGGACGAACTAGATGCACACTAAACTTCTCTTCAAATTCCGCTAACAAGCAATCACGCAGTAATCTCAATACACTATGTGCGTCTCCTCCACTCAAGTCGCACAGATCGTCAGAGTTCTCTAAGATCTTTGCTACACTAGTGACAGAGTAATCAGATATTCCACAAGGTATTATATTCGAAAAAGGTACAAGATCTGTCGTCACATTCAGTGCAAGTCCATGGTAAGTGATCCACCGGGAGACTCGAACACCAATTGCTGCAACCTGCAAGGACAAGGTGAAGACTTCTCGATCAGTTCACCACTTATCGTCTGACTGTAGCACAGGAAGAAATGAGAAATGAACGTAATAACTAAAACCAAATCACTGGGAACTTTCTTTAACATTACCAAACAGATGTATCTGAGGGCTTTCAAATGTTTAAAAGGAAGTAGTTGTAAGACTTGACAACTAAATGTGTTCACTATATCTGCGAATTAGGGCTGAGGCAGCTGCTCCACCTTCTGATTGTCCACCCAGACCCCAGTAAGTCCGTCGATGCGATGCGCTCGAATTCCACAAGCTTTGTAAAGTGCGCCGATTACAACTTCCTCGAGAGTTCTAAGGTACCAATGTAAGTCCATTTTGTGGTGCCGTAGGTTGAGAATCGGGTACATGACAAGCTGCCCTGGGCCATGGTATGTAACCTGCATTGGTGTGCGGAGTAAAAGGAAAGATACAGTTGTCAACAAGGCAAATTAAGTCTGTCAAGACTTTGTGAAACGGAGGTAATAACATAACGACGTTTACGCCTGCAAAATAATGTGCACTTCATTTACTCGCCGGAAATTCAATTCTTCGTGCTAAACGAGAAAATGAACGGTGCTTTGATACAGTACAAGACTGCAACGATTTTTAACTTTTAATGTGCATATGCTGCCAGTCCTACCACCAGGACTTGAGAAGCAAAATACTGACCTCGCCTCCCCGTTCCGTCCGGTGAAGCTCAAAAGGAGGATCATTGGCATCAAACTTCAAATTCGCTTCGGTGCTTCGCGTGCCTAACGTGTACACTGGCGGATGCTGCAAGATGATAAGAGTGTCGCCAGCATCCTCGTGACGACCCAGCATTGCTATTTTCTCTTCCACTCGCAGCTTCTGCCAATTCCAAGCATCAACGTACGGCACCAGCACATCATACTGGTCGTGAAATTCGCAGCACCACCTACTTTGCAAATCCTGGGCTGCAGAAGCACGCCATTGCTGTAGGGCTCCGCGCCTTTGAATCGACGTCCACGATTCCTGAGAACGTAAAACCCTAACTCCAACTTTGGAGTGACATTGTGAGGGAGCTAGAGTGGGCTTGAATTCGCCAAGTTTCGAAGTGATACAAAGGTGTGATCTGTTGCACAATGAGGAGAGCCTAGTCGCCTCCATGGCACCTCCGTTGGAAATTAATTCCCCGAGAATCGCAAGTCTAATTGGGTCTTACTATCAAAATTAATTACACAATCCGAGTAGCAACAACAGCAGGAGGGCCAGAACCCGTAAGCGAAACCATCGCGCAACTAGCATATCCACTGGTTCCGAATCGAAATTCAGAGGTTGAAATTTGAGGGGTCTTCCACAACCTTGAATTGCTAATGCTCGTAACAACGTAACTGCAATAGCACCCACTTTACTCGAACTGTCGAATCCGAGGAATCGAAAGAGCGTTCAATCGAAACCCTAATGCAGTAACATTTCTCAACCAAATAAACTCAGTTCGATCTTATTAATTAAGTAATTTCACGACTCCGAGAGAGACAAACGGGACCTTCCATCGGAGGAACTGGTCACTTCAAGGAAACGAAGAAGAAAGGCAGAATTAATTAATTAATGATACTTGCGCAACGGAATTGGAAGGATACGAGCCCCGGAAACTAATCCATTATTTGGATAAAAAAGCAATGCCGAAACTTCACATCTATCCGTATGAACTTATTTGGTAAGAAAACTACCATTCATCAATTTTGATTGTTGAAGTTTCGGCACGTACTAATTCCATTTGTCATTTTAAAAAATAAAAAATAAATCCTCAAACATGATTTTGGTCTTGGATGTTATTTCTATCTTGTTTTCTTATTCAAAAAAATAAATTATGGATTTGTTTAATTTATTAATTTAATACTCTTTCTTTAATATATATATATATATATATATATATATATATATTGTTGCCATCATTTGGATTGCTTTTTCTAAAAAAATATTATGCTTCAAAAAAATAGCCGTTAGTAAAGTTTATTCTATTTTAAATCAAACACATAATCACAACTTCTTATTTATTTTTTAATCATAGTCTATAAAATTCAATTTGTAAATTTTATTGCTTTTAATTTTTATAAAAAAAAACATAAATCTACACAATTTTCTATTAAAAAATTTAGTATCCATTCATTTTTGCCTAATATTACCATACTTTTTGTATGTTTATTATAATAATATGTTGATACAAAATATACCCCCAATTTGTAGATACAATATGAATTACAAAATAATAATCTAAAAAGACATATTTTTAACTTCTAAATTTAGAAATGTTTATAATTTTTTGATTTATACATACAATGATAAAATATTAAAACTAAGTAACAGTTTTTTACAAAATAATTACATGTATGTTACATTACACATTGTACAAACCAATTCCACAAAACATCTCCTAGAATAGGACTTTTATTGCAAGATTTTGTCTATCCACACTACTTGTCTTGACTTTGCCCAAGGACAACAAGCAAGTCCTGGGGTACACAAAATCCAAGTCAATATAAACAATGTGAGATTAGAGTCCAAGGTCAGCTTTCAGAAAGACTGGAGCATTGGGTGCAAAATCTGGTAGTGTTGGGCAAGTCTTGAGTTTGATTTTGGTTATCTACTAGATATGCTCTATTGGTGTTTTGAACCCTACTCTCAATACATGATTGCTTCTCCCTAACCCTCTCCTTTAGTCTTTGTCTTAGCTTTCTTTGTCTTAGTTCTATTGGCCTCTGCTCTTTTTAGCCCTAAGTTAGGGACAAAATTTGGGGACAAGTGTAGGCAAGCATATAAAAACTTTGTTAAAACTGCCCAAAATCTATTCACAGATAAAGAAGAAGAAAAATAGCCATAACATAATTCTATGGTAAGATCCACCACAACCTTATACAAACTTGAAATATAAATGCAAAGTGGAAAAAATAAAATACCATGCATTTGCCAAAGATGCATTTAATTATGGAAAATTTATACTAAATTATCTTTTTGCAACATGATCAAGTCAACACAAAACATAAGATCCCGTTTTTATCACTTATCATTGTACAAAGCAATCAAATTACTCCTTTTGTGTGTCCTCTGTCAATGATACTAGCAACCATATTCATTGACAGAGCACACACAATGAATGTACACCAATGACCAAAGAAAACTGACAATGAAGCCAAGCTGAATGCCTGTTTTCCTCATTCATCAGTCGATGTCTTCCCTATAACCCAAACCCGAACTTGGACACTCCTGGTACACGAAGTATAACTCCACCTAACAACCAACGCACACCACCGCCAAACCGGTACATTCAGCAAACCAAAACGATCTCCTCTGGTCCTACCTCCATTTCTTCCTATCCCCTGCAAAACACCCCATCCCTACGGTTCCGCTGATGTGCACAGGTGTGTACTGCAAAGTCACCTCACCTCTTTATCAAAACAACACTCTTGCGACTCACCACACGTGACCAAGCTTCGTGATCGCCGCATCCTGCTCCAACAAACAACCAACATCTCTGCTGTACCCACTATGTCTCAGTCCACCAAGTTCCGGTACCAGCAGCAAACATGTCACTTGCAATGCTTCCAACACCACCATGCACAACCAAACCGCAACACAACTCCATGTGGTCTCATGGCGATAATAAATCTCATTTCTTTTGCTCCAGCCACATCGGGCACGGCTCTACATGGAGCAATTCATACATTCATTTACGCAACTACTCCAACCTCTTCCTCTATCCCCCTCCTTTGCGTTATAACAACAACAGCCCTCGCATCACCCAAACAGGTCCTGAAACAGAGCAGGATTCGCGCCCGTCGGAGTGACGCCAACTTGCCGGGAGGCAGCATCCTTTTGCAAAGAATGTTGACGAGAAGGCCCTTTCTTGTCCGACACACCAGTCGATGGCGATGAACTTGAACTTGACTGCGCAAGCTCACCCAATCCCGCCAGTGGACTCACGCTTGGCAACATATTCAAGTCCATCAGTCCTCCTTCAACCCCATTCGCGCCATCCATCCCACCACTGCGTCTATGGCCTAAAGGTAGCACATCAGAATCACCTGCTAACGAGCTAGCACTCTGGGACACAACAGGAGCGCTGTCATACAAAGACATAAAATCCATCGTACTCTTTCCCAATCCTGCTGGTGTGGAAGACGCTGCTGTGGAAGGCACGCCGAGTAAACCTTCCAACCCCTTGAACGGATCATACGATGCTTTAGAATCATGAACTGGGAGTAAGTCATCTCCACTCATGTCCACCAGGTCCATTAGCGAGCTCGAGGCTTGCTTTGGCTCAGCTGCGCTCCAATTCTTCTCCTTTCCGCTCCCTGCCACAGGTCTCGAAGGTACGCCCTTCTCACTGGGTCGAACATTACCTGCTGCATTCGACGCCTTCACTCCTCCATTCACTCCTCCACTACTGCCTTTCTGGACTGATGAACCACCAAACAAGGATGCCGCAAGTCTCTGCTTCTCCGCTGGTATTACCCGCTGTACCTTCTTTCCCTCGAAGCTGCTGCTGTATGTATCATGTCTGGGCTCTGCTGCATCACCGTCCCACCACTCCACAAATCAGCCACCAACCAACTACGACAACCAGATACACCCTACTGCAATTCGCCATGCTATTTCATGTACCCTCGCAATCACAAACCAGCATTAGCACGTGGAAACAACAATCTGCTCCCGAAGGCTCCATCAGCCACTCCCTAGTGCGAATGGTTCCCCCACATCATCCCGTAACAGCATACACGAGCAGCATACTTGCCCCGTATAAATGGTCCATCATCCAGAATGTAACTCATCTTGTTTCCATACAACGTACCTGCTGGACTGCTTTCGTTGTTGGAGCTCGCGCCTTCTGAGACACCACTACCACGCCTTTGTTGCTCAGAGACTGGTGTGGGCGCAGGAGAAGGTTGAGAAGAACCTGACGTACGACCCCATTTCCTCTGCACTCCATCTAACCGAAGTCTTGCAACTTCGGGCCCCAGTAAGTCCACCTGTGAACTATCGGTCTGGTTTCTCACGCTTCGAGTAGGTTCAGTCACTGACTCCTCGAAGTCTGGAAGAAGAGAAGAGGGAACAGCTGCAGAACCGGAGGAAACGGCTAGCGTCGGCGTTTCATACGCTTCGAACCGTAGACCGTGGGACGGCTCATGATGGCTGCGGCTGCTACTCACGAATGAGCTCATGCCACTGTCCACGCCAAGCCGCTCGTTCTCATCCAGGTACGGACGGGCCCCATTGGCCAGAGCAGAATCCACAAATTCTTGTAGAAATGGCAACTCCCTGTCAAACTGCACGTTCACCCGCAAGTCATTTCATATTCAACATGCGTCTGCTGAAACGACACCCGCACCACGTATTCTCAAATCATCTACCTTGTTGTAAACAAAGCTTCACAAAGTCCAGCGACTCTACCTCGACGGGACTGCCAAAACATACAACTCGGTCTCCACCCAAGAAACTCGACACACGACATCCGACAACAGAATATCTTGAAACACCAAAACACTCTTTCTTCATCCAAACGAACCCAAACATTTCAATCCACAAACAAACTCTCCACGACTCAAGAAACAAGGCATACAGGAGTCACTTTCTATATTTTGCGCTAAACACACTGCATCGACGAAGACGTAACATCCCAAGCACCGACCGTGATCGTGTCCTGTCATCTTACCAACTTCACACCCGGCGACCTCACCAGAAATCTCTGTTGCAGTTGGGTCCAAAACCAAACTCGCTCAACCAACCTACCCCTCTCACAACCACCTCATCCTCACACACGAGAAAGGAAACGCAGCCCTTCACGGCCAACGTATACACATACCTCAATCTCTTCACCACTTCCGTTCACAGGCAGCACCTTCCGCACGAGGTCCGCACCAAGTCCCAAGAATACCTGCAGCTCATACGCCCGCTGTTGTAGGTCCGTGGAGTGGGAGGCCAGCAGATCATCCACAAATGACCGACACTGTAACACCCGCCAGGTCCACGTTCTGTTAGACAAGCTTGCTGCTCTGGAATTTTCTAAAACTACCTCTATCAGTTTACACCCACTTTTGACTGCTCCCAATCTCACACCGTCACTTCAAACACATCAAATTCTCCATGCGAACACAGATCTATCGCAATAGTACATCTACTCCCCACATCCTTTTCTTCAATGTTATGCTCCATACTCGACTCGTAAAACGTCCCCGCCGCTCAAACCGTGCCTCACCCGCTTGGCACAACTAATGACGTCCACAAACGACCCACAATATAATCCAATCCACCAAAGGACAGCACCAGTCTACAACCCAGGTGCCGACTTGACATCCGCAGCTGGACTGATCCTAGGTAGCATATTGCTAAAAGACGACGAGAGACAACGGAGATCACCTCGGGTATGAGCTGAACTTCTCTGCCTGCTCCAATCTCGAATGAGCATATCTTCGTGATTGCTGTGATTGCATATCCCTGACCGTGTCCAAGCCAACGGCCCCTATCGATTTAGAGCAGCCACGTACTCTTTTACTGTAGGAAGGTGCAAACAAA